CAGAAACTTATCAGGCCAGAAGGGAATGGGATGAAATATACAAAGTCATGCAAAGGAAGGGTCTGAATCCAAGAATACTGTACCCAGCAAGGCTATCAATCAAAATTGAAGGGGAAATCAGGAGCTTCACAGACAAAAACAGACTAAGGGAATTTATCTCCACCAAACCAGCAATGCAAGAAATGCTAACGGGTCTACTGTAAAATTAAAGAAATAGAAAGCAAAGAAGGAACACAGGGGTATAGAATAAAAATGGCGTCAAATAAGTATCTATCAATTATAACTTTAAATGTAAATGGACTAAATGCTCCAATCAAAAGACATAGGGTAACGGATTGGATAAGAAAACAAGACCCATATATCTGTTGTCTACAAGAAACCCACCTCAGAAAAAAAGATGCACACAGACTGAGGGTGAAGGGATGGAAAAAGGTTTTCCAGGCAAATGGAAATGAAAAAAAAGCTGGGGTAGCAATACTTATATCTGACAAGTTAGATCTCAGAGTGAAGGACATAACAAGAGATAAGGAAGGCCACTTCATAATACTAAAGGGAGCAATCCAACAAGAAGAAATAACCCTGGTAAATATATATGCACCCAATATGGGAGCACCCCAATATATAAAAAAACTGCTGGAGGACATTAAGGGAGAGATTAATAGCAATACAATCATAGTAGGAGATCTTAATACCCCACTGTCACCCTTTGACAAGTCATCTAAACAAAAAATCAGCAAAGAAATATCAATCCTAAATGACTCGCTAGACCAGATGGAATTAATCGACATCTTCAGAACATTCCACCCCAAAGCCACAGAATATACATTCTTCTCAAGCGCACATGGGACATTCTCAAAGATAGACCACATTTTGGGACATAGGCAAAGTCTCTTCAAATTCAAGAAGATAGAAATCATATCAAGCATCTTCTCAGATCATAGTGGCATAAAACTGGAAATTAACTACAAAGAAAAAAATCCAAAGAAATCAAACACATGGAGATTAAACAGCATGCTATTAAACAAGGACTGGGTTACCAGAGAAATCAAGGAAGAAATTAAAAACATCCTGGAAACAAATGACAATGAAAACACAACTATCCAAAATCTATGGGACACAGCAAAAGCAGTTTTGAGAGGGAAGTTCATATCCCTACAAGCCTATTGCAAAAAACTAGAAAAAAGGGTAACAAATGATCTAACTCTACAACTCAAAGAGTTAGAAAAAGAGCAACAAGAAAAGCCCAGTGTAAGCAGAAGGAAGGAAATAACAAAAATCAGAGCACAGATAAACGACATAGAGACCAAAGAAACAATACGTAAGATCAACAAAACCAAGAGCTGGTTCTTTGAAAGAATAAACAAGATAGATGGACCCCTATCCAGGCTAACCAAGAAACAAAGAGAGAGGACCCAAATAAACAAAATCAGAAACGAAAGAGGTGAAATAACAACAGATCCCGCCGAAATACAAATGATTGTTACAAAATACTATGAACAGCTCTATTCCAATAAACTGAACAACCTGGAGGAAATGGACATATTCCTAGAAAAATACAACCTTCCAAAACTCAATCAGGAAGAATCTAAAAATCTAAATAGACCAGTGACTTGGGAAGAAATTGAAACAGTCATCAAAAAACTTCCAGCAAACAAAAGCCCAGGGCCAGATGGCTTCACAGGAGAGTTTTACCAAACATTCAAGGAAGAACTAAAACCTATCCTCCTCAGATTATTCCAAAAAATCCAAGAGGAAGGAACACTTCCAAATTCCTTCTATGAAGCCAGCATCACCCTAATACCAAAACCAGATAAAGACAACTCAATGAAAGAGAATTACAGGCCAATATCCCTCATGAACATAGATGCCAAAATCCTCAACAAAATTCTAGCAAATCGGCTCCAGCAGAGCATCACAAAGATCATACACCATGACCAAGTAGGATTTATTCCAGGAATGCAAGGATGGTACAATATCCGCAAATCAATAAACGTGATACATCACATAAACAAGTTGAAAGATAAAAATCATATAGTCATATCAATTGATGCAGAAAAAGCATTTGATAAAATCCAACACCCTTTCCTGATAAAAACTCTCAACAAGGTGGGAGTACAAGGATCATACCTCAACATAATAAAAGCTATATATGATAAACCCACAGCCAACATCATACTCAATGGGCAAAAACTAAAACCATTCCCTCTAAGAACAGGAACAAGACAGGGATGCCCACTTTCGCCACTCCTCTTTGACATAGTACTGGAAGTACTAGCCATTGCAATTAGACAAGAGGAGGAAATAAAAGGCATCCAAATTGGAAAAGAAGAAGTAAAGCTATCCTTATTTGCAGATGACATGATATTGTACATAAAAAACCCAAAAGACTCCATTAAAAAACTAATTGGCTTAATAAATGAATTTGGCAATGTAGCAGGATACAAAATTAACGCCAAGAAATCTATGGCATTCCTATACACCAACAGCGAATTTATAGAAACAGAGACTAAAAAATCAATTCCATTTACCATTGCACCAAAAAAATTAAGATACCTAGGAATAAATTTAACTAAGGAAGTAAAGGACCTATATGCGGAAAACTACACGACACTGAAAAAAGAGATAGAGGAAGATGTAAACAGATGGAAGAACATACCATGTTCATGGATTGGTAGAATCAACATCATCAAAATGTCCATACTTCCTAAAGCAATCTATAGGTTCAATGCACTCCCCATTAAAATACCAACGGCATACTTCACTGACATAGAAAGAACTCTCCAAAAGTTCATTTGGAACAATAAAAGACCCCGAATAGCCACAGCAATCCTGAGAAAGAAGAGTAAAGTAGGAGGGATCTCAATACCAGACTTCAAACTGTATTACAAAGCCACTGTTCTCAAAACAGCCTGGTACTGGCACAAAAACAGACATATAGATCAATGGAATCGAATCGAGAACCCAGATATCAACCCAAATCACTATGCTCAATTAATATTTGACAAAGGAGGCACGAATATACAATGGGGTCAAGACAGTCTCTTCAATAAATGGTGTTGGGAAAATTGGACAGATACATGCAAGAGAATGAAACTGGATCACCAACTTACACCATACACAAAAGTAAACTCAAAATGGATACAGGACTTAAACATCAGACTGGAAACCATAAAAATACTAGAAGCATCCACGGGCAGCAAAATCTCAGACATATGCCAAAAGAACTTCTTCACTGATACTGCCCCTAGGGCAATGGAAGCTAAAGAGAAAATAAACAAATGGGACTACATCAAAATAAAAAGCTTTCTTACAGCAAAAGAAACCATCAACAAAACAACAAGAAAGCCCACGATGTGGGAGAACATATTTGCAAATGTTACCACTGATAAAGGTTTAATCTCCAACATCTACAAACAGCTTATACAACTAAATAAAAGGAAGATGAATGATCCAATTAAAAAATGGGCAATGGACCTAAATAGAATATTTCCAAAAGAAGACAGAAGGAAGGCCAAAAGGCACATGAAAACATGCTCAAAGTCACTAATTATCCGAGAGATGCAAATCAAAACAACAATGCGGTACCATCTCACACCTGTCAGAATGGCCAACATCAACAGATCAACAAACGACATGTGTTGGCGAGGCTGTGGAGAAAAGGGAACCCTTGTGCACTGCTGGTGGGAATGCAGACTGGTGCAACCACTGTGGAGAACAGTGTGGAGTTTCCTCAAAAAACTGAAAATGGAACTCCCATTTGACCCAGTAATCCCACTCCTAGGAATATATCCCAAGAAACTAGAAACACCAATCAGAAAGGATATATGCACCCCTATGTTCATAGCAGCACAATCTACAATAGCTAGAATTTGGAAACAGCCTAGGTGCCCATCAGCAGATGATTGGATCAAAAAACTTTGGTACATCTACACAATGGAATACTATGCTGCCATAAAAAAGAAGGAATTCTCAACATTTGCAGCAACTTGGATGGAAATGGAGAACATCATGCTGAGTGAAATAAGCCAGTCATTGAAAGAAAAACACCATATGACCTCACTCATTTGTGGATAATAAAGAACATTATAAACTGATGAACCAAAAGATAGATATAGAGACAGTATATCAACAAGCAGACTGTCAAATTACAGCGGGGAGGGGAGGAAGATCTGGGGGAGATAATAGATCAACCGAAGGACTTTTATACATGCACATAAGTACAACCAATGGACATAAAACTCTGGGGAGGGAAGGGATGTGAGGGAGGGAGGGAGGGGGGGAAAAATCAAAATAAATAAATAAATAAATAAATAAATAAATAAAAAAAAAAAAAAAAAGGAGGGGGGGAAACAGGGAGAGAGAGAACAACAATTGGTTGCCTCCCATCGATGACCTGGGGCCGGGAATAGAGCCTCTGACTGGAATCGAACCCATGACCCTTTAGTCCATAGGTCAACCCTCTAGTCACTGAGAACCAGCTAGAGGAAATTTTGATATTTTTAGGTGTACAGTACAGTGGTGATAGGAATATGTACATTGTTGTGCAATAAAAAGGGTTGACAGCGAAATTAATGAATAATGTTGGCTCTCTCTCTCTTTCTCTACCTTCCCACTCTCTCCACCTCTCTACCTTCTCACTCTCTCCATCTCTCTATCTTTCTTCATCTCTCTCAGTTTGATTGGAAGAGTATGGACTTTCCTTCTTGGAGATTTTTAAAATAGCTGAGCCCTAAGGGGCTGGGAGAGAGGGCCCCCTGAGGATACCTTCTCAGCCAGACTTTTCGGGGAGGCAGCGACGTGGCCCAGCACTGAAGCGGACACGCTGAGGAAAGTACATTCCAGCGGCCTCGGACGGAGCCAGAGATGCATCAATGCATCTCTGCAGACAGCACATGTCAACCCAAGTCTGTCTCATTTGACTTCTGAACTGGGGAGGGCGGTAAGTTTGTTTTCACCCCAAAACTGACACCACAGATGCTGCCGCGCACTGCTCCTTTTACCTTGGGCTTGTACGCGTTCAGCATGGACATCTCCACGTTCTGGCCGCGGACGTGCTTGGGCTGCCTCTGCACGGGCGGCGACGAGGACTTCTGGCTGTTGCGGCAGACGCAGATGAAGAAGAAGAGCAAGGCAATGGCCAGGGGGATCGCCACGCTGGGCACCAGGATGTACAGGATCTCCATCTTGTTCTTTTCCTTGGAGTCCTTTGAATCTGGTGCGGAAATAAAAACGTAAGAGGAGAGCAAGAATTATACAGGCTCCAGTACCGTGTATGCTATTACCTTGCAGAGTTTAAAGGGACCTCCTATTCTTTTATGCACACAAGTCCACTGTGAGAAAAAAAAAAGAAAAAGAAGAAAAGGAACAGTGGCTTATTACAATTTGTTTCCATCAACCCTTCAACATAATTTATTGAAGTTTAAAAGTTGAAAGTTCAAACGTTTAAAAATTGCAGAGGGAAATGATAAAGACTTCACATGCGTGTGGGTCCCCATCTGAGGCTGCCTCTCCTTAGCCTTAGACCCGCTTTTCTCTCACACCTTAAACGTTAAACGTCAGGTGAACGGCCTGTATACATACATGAGCGTTCAAGTGGAGAAACAGGGCTCTTCTTCCACTGGCCGCCAGCCCAGATCCAACACCACGACCTGATGTTCCAGGAAGCATGCAATTGTCTGGGCTTGTGTGGACACACGGGACCAGTCGTGCGTCTTCCAGAGGCAACATCACCAAAGGATCCTGGCCCAGTGTCCACAAACCCAGTGGCCCGAGAATATGGGGACCCGGAGTCAAGGCCGGCTCAGTCTTTGATGAGCTGTGTGACCTTGAATGAATCACTCATACCTCTGAGCTTTTCTCGTCCTCGTGCACCAAGTGAAGTATATATTTTGGATGTGTCTATAATTCCCTCCCATGCGGCACCATTTGTAGAAGTTGATACTTCCTTGAAACCCAAGAATTCTTCCTAAATGGTTTCATATGAACTCAGTAATTATGAGCGCTAACACTTTGAAGTGTATTTTTGAAATCTTATACGCCCACTGTACCTACTGCTGCTTGGAAAAGAAGGTAATACATAGAAGAGAAGGACCTGAGGCATACATTTCTTTTTATTGGGTTGAGCCTGGTCTTTAAAACTAAGCACTTTAAAACAACAACAACAACAAAATAACTAAGTACTTCGGGCATATGTTGTTATTAACTAATTATTTGACTGATAAAATAAATAAGAATTATGAGACAGCTTTTATAGGGGTTGCATCATACAGGCCCTGATCACCAATAACCTTATCAGTTATCTTGCTTAAGAAAATCCCAAGTATGACAATAAAGATTGACACAAAATTCAGATGACTATTTACTTAACAAAAGGATTAACCAGGCATTCATTCACTCATCCTCCCTCTTGTTCAGTACATCAATATACCAAAGTGACTAGTGACAAGTACTCTTTTTAGGGTCCGGGAATACAAAATTTGACGCGTCCTTTGCCTTCAAGGAACTCATGGACTAATAAGGAAAACAGAGAAAAGATAAATACAGTATGTTGTTGGCAATGCTATAAGGGAAGCATGAATACAGTGGTTAAGAGAGCCCCAAAATCCTCATAAATAGTGAGCTTCCCTCGTACATGTAAATGGGAATACACTTGCACGTACCTTCTTTGGGAACCCATGGTTTAGTGAGATAGAGTGCTAATTAATCACATCATTTTCTCTCCACATAAACAGACTCAAGAAGTCCAGAAGTTAAGAAGGGGTACCCTAATCTGGGTGATGGGACTGTGCTCTATGGGTTAACCTTCAGAGGGGATTGGGGAGGGGTAAAAATCAGTTAAAAACTAAGTCTTAGTATTTATTGAGTATCTTCTACTGACACAAAATCATGTTAGCTATTATGACGGACAGGGACCAAGCCCTGTTCTAAGCACTTTTTATGAACTCATTCGTTTTACCCTCATAACCCATCCCAGGAGGCAGGTGCCATCATGATCTCCATTCTTACAGGCGAGGAGCTGAAAGGCAGAGTGGTTCAGTAATGTGCCCAAGGACATGCAGCTAAGTAATTCAAAGGCTGGGACACCCCTTCCCCACCCACCCGTGGAGTTGTGTCACAGCTCCTGCTCTAGCCACTATACACACACTGCCAATAATTTGAGAATGACTGCTGTTGTGCACCCGTTTTCTCATGGTAGAGTTTCTTGTTTCGTGGAAGTAGGAAGGACAAGGAAGGCCTGACATGGGTGGAATAACACTGAAGCTTTCTTTGCCAGACATGCTACTTTAGAACTCCCCACTGTACACACCGTAGCAAGTAAACAGATAACCCAGGCATCTCTGGGAGGCTATTCTAATCATTCTAGCCATTAGGAACCGGTCTCTTTTGTAACAAGTGTGTCTGCATGTGGGTGGGTGAGTAGATGGAAAAAAAAATCACATGGAAGAGTGTCTACTGCAGGTCCCCCAGATAGACAGACAGATAGATAGACAGGTCTCTATTATCTATCCAGCTATCCTTTTTAGAAGCACTGTGGTTGGCAAACTCATTAGTCAACAGAGCCAAATATCAACAGTACAACGATTGAAATTTCTTTTGAGAGCCAAATTTTTTAAACTTAAACTTCTTCTAACGCCACTTCTTCAAAATAGACTCACCCAGACTGTGGTATTTTGTGGAAGAGCCACACTCAAGGGGCCAAAGAGCTGCATGTGACTCTCGAGCCGCAGTTTGCCGACCAGGAGTGTAGCAGAATAAAGGACATGTATGTTTTAGAGTCAGAAACTCTGCAGACTGCCTTTGTCGTTATCTACATAATCTCCATAAGGCACTTAGCCTCTCTGAACAAACCCACCCGTAAAATGGCAATGTTTAATACCTATTTCATAGAATTTATATAAACAATAACTGAAGTATCATCGAAAGTATCTATTCTGTACCAGTTACAAGTCCATCCCTCAGTATTTACCCCTTACGCTTAGAGTAGGAAAGGATGCAAAGATAAAAGCTTTGGACTGGGAATTTTAAATATCCATAAGCAAGAAACCACCTCTCTAAGTGCCATCTCCTCCCTTGTTCACGCTTACTTGGTTCACGTGAGAGATAATGTTCACGAAAGAACCTCGGGAGATTGAAAACTGCCACACAGTTGTGGGATGCTATGATTATCGTTAACATTATACAACACTTTCATATTTGTCAGTACCACAAAGGGAGAAATCCCTCTTGTTTGTCTTGGATTTCCAGTGAAATCATTATGAGGGTAACGATTACAAAAGAAACCCAGCTCATTTAGTCCTAACGTAACGCTCGTCATTTTTTCTGGCCCGGAGTTTTCGCAACAAGGGGAAGGAGGGCTCTCACCTGTCTGGCAAACAAAGGAGTCTATTCTGTACATTCCGTATCAGATTATTCTCATAGCGCCTCTGACTGTAAATGAGGGGTCTGGGACAAATCCCCCTGTAGGTCTGCCGCAGAACAGACTTCAAGAAGCTGAATTCTTTGAACACAGTCACACTTGGCTCCTTCAGGTTCGTGGAGGATATGCAAGCGAGCACAAGGTCTTCTTGCCAAGTGAAATAATCAAGCAGAACAATACGCAGTTGAGTTGGAAGTGACAGAAAGCAGCTTCGGGCCCATTGTAAGTCTACCATACAACAGGCTCACTTTCCCACACAGCTCTCTGCATTTGGCCAGAAGGAGAGAGTCGGTGTCTGGCTCAGAGAAAAATGTATAGAAAAACATTCCTCAGAACAAACTAATGTTACTCATGGAAAGTTAGAAAGCACACATTTGCCCAACCTCTTTGAAATGTCCTAGCATTTTTATTCGTCATTTTAACCCAGTGCTGGGTGTTATCTTGATTTTACACACAGAGAAATGGAGGCCAAGAAAGAACAGATAATTTGACAAAACTAGAAAGAGTTCACGTCTGGGTTGGAATGCAAGCCTGTCTGCCATCAATACTTCCATGCTTTATAAATTATATTACTAATAAAAGTTAACATGCTATAGGAAATTGCTTTTTATCATCTCCTTAAGAGTCCAAGGCTCCTTCTCAATGAGGGCTAGTCTCCAGCAGAGATCATACATGAAAAATAATCACATTAGAACAATGGACATTGTTCTTACTATGCACTTTAAAGGGTAACGGACACCTCTAGTGCATTGCAAAAAAAATTAGAACGGTGAAGTTTTTTTTTTTTTTTTTTTTTTTTTTTTTTTTTTTTTTTAATACTTTGGAATAACTGCTTAAAAGCGGAATGCACATATTAGTTACATCAAGTTAATCCTTGGGATTTTTGGAACCAACAATTTAGTCTGGATCACATGATTAATTTCCTTTTAAAAATCAATTTGGTATCACAGTTTACATCTGACATTCCTCTTTTATTTTTACAATGATATTCAATACTTTGATTAGTAATTAAATAAAAGAAGAAAATACTCCTTTCTTATTCCTGGGCTAAAACAAGGTACACATGATTTCTCATTCAAGAAGTACTTCTATAAAATGAAATCTCATCTGGGATATTACTTTTGAGTTAAAACAAGAAAGTGCTCAGATTTGCGCATGGCAAAGGTAGGAAGAAATCTTACAGGAACTCAGAATTTGAAGGAAATTAAATAAGTTCAATTATGATCTTGTTTTGAAAAAAAAATTAAAACCACAAAAAGTGAATAGAAATTGCTACCAATTATTGGTTGGAAACTATAAAATATGTGGGTTGTTATCAGATAGGGGCCTGTGTTATTGATATTTAAGCAGGTGTCTGGAAGCCTAATGGAAAACCATGGTATTTGGGCCTTCAGTGGGATGCTGGGCCCAGCCATTTGTACTCTCAATTTAATGATGGAAATATTAAGTAGGTGATCTATTATTACCTTATGCATTCTCAAATGAATTCTTAAAATGGGACTCTACTAGGTCATACACAACAATTAAATTTTTTTCTCTGAAGAAAATGTTTTAATCGCAATAACTAGGAGGACAATAACACATTTGTGAACATTGAGAAAAATCTCAATAACTGGAGTCTACCTGAGTTCACTAGAAGTTTCTAAAATTCCCAGGGCCTCAGTTTTCTCCGCTATAAAAGGAAAGAGTTGTGCTAATCTTTTCTTTTTAATTTAAAAACTTTATATTATAGTAAAGGCATATAAAAAAACTTATCATCTTAATTATTTTGAAGTAAACAGTGGTGTTAAGTACAT